AGGGAAAGACCATCAGAAAGCCAAGGGCTTGAACCTCTAATCTTGTTGTTGTAAGGCAAAAGAACAAACCATAATTACTCCATGTGCAATCACTTCTTTGTCTGAGCGTATTTTTTCTCATTCCTATTTTTTATTTTATTTATTTGATTAGATTTAAATGAGATCAGGTGAGACGCATGCAAAAGCAGTAAAACATTTGAGTAGAAAGAAATACATTGACATTTGGACAAGTGCAAATACTATATGTGTGTATATACTTTTATATAACGTATGTGTGTATACACGTATTTAAATGTACATATGTGTATAGATGTATGTATTTACATATACATCTATACACATATATAGATACACATATATGTACATCTTTCTACATATATACTCTATATATGTATATATATATTTAGAGAGTAACTTCACTGTAAAATTGTATTTTATTTTTATTTTATTACAGCATATATTACATCACCGTCATTCAGTGAAACCGATCACCTCAATTCCCTCATATACTGTCATTACTGTAACACAGCTCTTACAGTAGTGTCCGTGAAATGTCAACGACCATCTTAAAGGCGGTCATTGGTGCTGACGTTCCCCTTCTGCTCCCACAGCTTTACGATTAAAACCGAACAATTTGCAGCCTCAACACAGGAGACTTATCAACTCGACTCATTTCATTACTGTCAGGAATATAACACCCCCAATCCTCCCCCTTAGTCAATTCGTAGAAATGATCCCGCGTTAGTTAATTTACAGTCACCCGTCGTGCGCGGCCTCCAGCCTCGACGCTCCCATGACAATTTACCTGTGTCCTTTTCACTTGCTGATGCATATCACTGTGATATACAATAATGGGACGGGCGTAGGACTCAGGAGTGAGGAGGCATGATGTATAATGAGCTGAGGAAGGTAATCAGTTACACTACACTCTTCACTTTGCGGCACAAGGACAGTTCCTAAATGTTGAACAAATTTAGTGTTTCACTGTGAGAATATGTTTAGCTGGAGTTCATTTTGCGAACACCTTGAATGACCTTGAGTGACCATATTACTTTTAGGAATTTACTCGTGCAAGTCTACCACCTTTATTAAACAAAAACACGAGTAAGGGACTCAAATTTTATATATGTACATATATGTACATATATACATATACATACTTATATACATATACACATATACATACATATATACATACGTACATATATACACACATATATGTATATATATATACATATATTTATATAAATACATATATGTATGTATGTACATATATACACACATATATGTATATATATATACATATATGTGTGTATATATGTACATACATATATATATATACACACACACACACACATATAAATATATATATATATATATATACGGGCTGCCACACAGCAAGCATCATTAGGTATGTGGGGCTTGAACCCAGGACCTTCTCCGTGTAAGGCAGACTTTCACACACACACAAACACATTCACCGCACAGTCTCAAACCCTCTGTTAAACATTGTATAAATATATGTACGGCACTAGAGACCGATATATTACCTGCATGGTTTATGCAGTATATGTAGAATATATACTAAAATATATAAATCACAGTATGGATAAATATATTTTATGCAGAGTATATGCAGTAAATGTTAAGTATATATAAATGTATAAATAGTAGCACGGACAAATATATGCATGTATGTGTGTTTAAATATACAAATACATAAATGACATGAGTAGAAAGTGTCCAGTGTTTGTCAACAGTATTGATGCTCCTCCTGCTACTGTATGTTCCAAGGGCTCACATACAAATCCAGGACAGGATCAACACATGTGCCTGTCATGAAAGTATTTATATAAAGCTCCAGAGACACACAACTGTGATAGATGACAGCAGTCCTCCTCCCTCCCAGGCTGACCTCATTCCCAGCGGGTTGCTTCAGTGGCTTAGGACCGTGCCACTGCCGGCCATCTGGCCCTGCCGATCTATCCGTTGCGGGCGAATAAAAACCAGGCGAGTTGCTGACATATTGTGATTATGCAATTGTGTACTGGAGGTAGTTGTAATCCTAAAGCTCGGGATTAAGCAGCTGCATATACCCCGATTTCACTCAGTGACACCAACCACCTGAGTCTGGTCGGAATCATTCACCTGACTCCCACTAATAATCTCCTCTCACAGTGTCTTCTTTTGTGCCAATACTGTGTTTGACACGAGCATCTGAATCTGCGCCAGTGTGCCTAGAAATAGACGGCGTGATGCAGAGAGCTCTTCCCTGTCTTGGGAAAGATTTGTTGTTTGATGTGGAAACCTCCATGTATTTCATTATGGATTTATAAAGCACGTGGAAATACTGAATACACTCTTACAGGAAACACACAACTTTTCCTCCAGTTCCAGGTTAATAATTAATGCAGGGGGAAGTGGAAGGCACATATAGCGTGACTCCCTTCTGCCCTATGAGGCCAGGGGCAGGGCATCTTGCTTCCCCTCTGTCCATGGTGCTGAAAAATGCTTTATTTTTGATCACCGGTAGGGGGAGTATGGCACCTAAAGATAAGATCAAGCAGCCGAGAACCAAAATACAGGGTTTAAGGAAACCAGCCTGACAACAGACCGGAGACGAGGAATTGATTCCTTGGTCCAATCAGTATCGGGATGTAAAAAGTTGCATTAGTTTGTAATTTTAATTTGTATTTGTTTTAAGGATTTACATGAAAGAACAGAAGACTGATGAAGAGAGCAGGCAGTGTTTGTAAGGACTTTGATTTCCCATGAAATAGAACACGAAAAATAACAATCTCATGAATAAGAAGACTGATAATAAAAATATATAGAACAGACTTGAAGGATATAAGTCCTAACAGGGTCAAACGTTATTCAAATCATCCATTCCCTGGGAGAAAATCCACCCCCTCAACCCCCAGGGTCGGAGCTTTCTCGTGCATGTGCGTGTCTGGTCGTGTCCGATCCAAATAGATTCGCCTCACGTCACCTGACCCACCCACTACCAACTGCCAGCCCACCACCCCGTGCACATAAAACATTCATTAGAGTGCAGCAGTGCGCTGCAAGAAACGTCTGTCTGAATAAATCATCAAGTCTCAGTTTCACATAAGAAACCACCAATTATATGGGATTATACAGCTTTAACCAATATATGTCCATTTAATGTGTATATTTATGTATGTGTGTGGGGAGATAGGAGAGGATAAGAAGAGTGACAGAGAGAGAGAGAGAGAGACATTGAAATGACTTTAAATCCACTTTGGGATTTAAAAGGATTTTTTCTCTCTATCTCTCTTTTTTTTCCAGCGTGACACCGACCTATTAAACATTCATCCCTGAATTCCCACTCGCTCTCCAGCTCTCTCTCTATTCTCTTGTTTCGCCAAACGTACCTTGTTGCCCCGCCCACCCCTTCCACCTCCCTACACCAACGCGCACCAGTGCGCATCCGCTGCACACCTTGCGCTGCGCAGACTTATGGAAATATGCACCGGGGCAAGTGATGCTGCTGGATATGTGCTGCAATTTTCAATGATGGAGGGAACTGTGGCTGCTCTTCTTCTGTATCACTGCTCCTCCTCTGCCCCTGCTCTCACACTTTGAGGACTCTCCTCCGAAGCTGTTTGTGCGTCCTGCTCTCGGGAGGTGTCGACTGGTTGGCGTTGTCGATTCTTCAGACCGCACTTTGGATGTTTACCGCTGACTGTTTCTCTGCCGTCCTCGTCCAAATGACTGAGCTCGGGTGCAGCCGGAGACATCGCTCTCCACTCCGGAAGACCTACAGCTAAAGTTTGAAGGGCGGCGGGGAACCGTTTGTGTTCCGTCTCCCACCGTGCACTGGATTTGCAATCACACACTGCAACCACCAACGGATATCCGCGCCGTCTCTGCGCGTCCTGGGATTGATTCGACTTGGATTTTACACCCCCACCCCCCACCCCCTGGATATCACCGAACCTGAATCATGAAGACCGCTAATTTTGATGGTGAGTAAGGGTGTAGCCTGCACCACACAACCACAGCATCTTTGTAAAGTTTTCGCCCGAAATCTGCCCACCGAGCTCGGCTGGGTTACTGCGCACTTATTGAAACCCCTTCCCGTGCAGAATCCTTTACTCCTAAAGAGACAGACCAAAAATAAACCAGGCGTCCTAATTGGAGTTGGTCCGCGGGTTCCTCTGGGTTCGGTTTATACCGGAGCAGTGATTGACAATATGCGCAAAACGGCGTCTAATCTGCACGGTGACAAGTTTCTCTGTCGGTGGAGGGAAGTTGTATCTTTATACGACCTTGACTCTTAATTGAACAGTAAATCACAGACAAAGACATTTATTGCGCGCTCTTTTGTTTTCTCGCAGATGTGTTAATATCAAAAGCGCTCAAAGGCAGTTATTGTTCGTCAATGTGTTTAACGTAATGAAAGTTCTCATTGGTCTGGACACCAGGCTGTTGTAGACGCTGAGGTTTATAAGTATGCAGATGATGCGCTTGGTGGCACAATAATATAACACTGTGTCAGTTCGACACGGCGTCCCTGGTCCCTTTGGACTTTGCCACACACTTGTCCACCGAATCCAGATCGATCCAGTTTTCCGTAGACTCGACTTGGACTTGCCTCCACAATCAGGACATGGATGGCGCTCGCTCCCGCCGGAAATAGCAAAGTACTGCATTTCTTGGCATGAGGGGGTGAAAACGGGGGTGGGAGGAGGGAGGAGGAGGAGGAGGAGGAGGAAGCACCTGGCATGTCAGTGCGTGTGTTCCTGCAGGCCTGATTGTACTCATGCCCGTTAATATGGTTAATGCAGCACAGGAAGAAAAACACCAACATGGGCGTGAGGTGTTGGAAAAACTGCACAGACGAGATCAGCAACATCTCATTTGCTCCATCAGCTGAGGAGGTGGAGAAGCTCCCTCTTCTCCACCCTCCCGCCCCACCCCTGCACACACAGTGGCTCAGTATGAACACATTCGGTACAGCTACAGTAGTGTTGGTGGATCGTGTCTTTATCATTTAACTAATAGTGAACCTACAAAGCAGAACCAGAAGTGAAGAGATCTGACTGCATGTCCTTAGGATTTGCTTTGACCCCAGTAAGAAGTACTGCCCACACAGGGGCTGAAAATGTTCATCTGGAGGAAAAAAAAAAAAAAAGATTCTATAAGTGAGTTTGCACGCATGCACAGATCTTATGCAACACACAGCACAGAGTGTTCATCACAGACTTCCTCCTCTTATTCATTACTGGGCTGAAACTGCAGGATTATGTCGGGAAAGCCACAGATTAAGGGCCCGCTGATTAACTTTGATTTTCCAAGTTGTGAAATACAGGGAGTTGCTCACGCAATCCGTGGAGTGTCACGTGGCGATGCAAATTCATTGGCGTACCACGTGTTTTTGTACAACGTGCCGGGTTTCTCGGATATCAGAGTGAGGTTTTCATCCTCCACCGACTCCTGTCGTGATTTACCTCAGGAGGCAACACACACCTGGTGGATGTCTGCTTTTGCCCCTGCTGTAATTATAATTGGCATCACTCTCTCGAGCTGATTTGGTGGAAGAAAATATGGCCTGTCATGCCTTGTGTTCAAAGTGTCACAGCGAGGTGGGGCTGTAATTTACACTGTTTTTCACCCTGTCAACATATGATCAAATGCCTCTGTGAGGAGGCAGATGCTCCCGGGTGCCGTTCCTCCTTGTCTCCTGCCAAGCAAAACCAATAAAGTCCAAATGAATGGATAAAACCATTACGGCAGAACGGAGCACCGTCTCTTCAGGAGTTGTAAACCTCGACATAATGAGGACAGTTTTTCATGTAGTTAACTTTGTTATTGTTTTTTTTACCAAAAAACTGCCCCATTAAAAATAAAACAGGCCACGATGTGAAGTATTTAAGGAGGGGAGTCCAATATATCAAAGCGGTGAGTCATATAAGAGTCAAAATGTTGAAATGAAAATTGAATAATTGTTGGTGATGTTCAGTGCAAAACAACATGGAATTGCAGTTGACGCTATAGACTGAGAATGATGCATAACCTGCTGAAAGAGAAGGTGAAATTGATCCATCCTTTTGTCTGTACACTATATATGACCACTGAGTGCAGGCTGTGAGAGATAATGTGTGTGCGTGTGGGTGTAGTATTCTGTTGGTATATACTGCAGGGGGAGGTCTGACTAAAGGGGGAGGCAGTGAGGAGAGCGGCAGCCAGCAAAAGAGAAAAAGATGGATTTAAAAATTCAGATGAGTTAAGATTCTTCAGCTCATCGCGTCGTCCGTTTGTCTGTCCCGGTCAGTGTGTCTCTTCACTTCAGAGGGACGAATGCTGCAGAGAAATAATAGCAAACAAAGTGACAGCTCCTCACGCTGACTCACTGAGGAAATATCCTAAAGCTCTAGTTAAGGTTTGTTTCGCCTTAATTGGCTGAGGTCAGCAATGAGACCAATGAAAGCACGATTCTCTCAGAGTATTCAAGTGGAAATCTTTGGAAACATTTCAGTCCCCTTAATGACTGCCACATGCTGGGGAGGCTGAACAATCCCTTTGATTCACAGTGTACAACGCCAGTTGCAGAGATTTTTTTTTTTTTTTTTTTCAAAAAATATTGTGTTGTTGTTGGAAAGTTTGACATTTAAGAAACTCTGTGACTTTGCTAAACGTCAACTTTTCTTTAAACTTAAAAGTTCAAAAACATGTTTTGTTTTCTGTTTTCTTTTGTATGAAATTCTTATTCTTATTTCCAGCACATACAGTGTGATGTTTTATCTCAATATTCTCAGATTAGAGGTATTGCGCTCGGGCCAAAGAAATGTCATTTTCAACAGAATTAATTTAAAACACATGGAGAAATGTTGAGGACAGAGATATTAAAGGTCTGAGAGTCAGGAATCCCAGACGCCAACTCTAAATACTATATCATCGTGTGGTGTTCATATCGGGTATATGAACATCAGAGTGGCAGGAAGAATTGTTGTTCATTGCAGTTTGGATGTCATTTGGTACTATAGTGTAAAAATGGGAGAACACCAGGGTTTGTTGAAACTTTTTTATTTTTTTTTCCAACTGTACTCAAGGGAGAACGTGCATCACATGGTTGAAGCCAAGGACATTTACAGGTTGAATATGTGAAAACACATTTCACAGTTAAGAGCCTAGGAATGTCACTTTTACTGTTATAGTAGTATTATACATTCTGCTACTTCTTTTATAACCATCAATTTTAATGCTACATTTATCTTGATAGTATTACGATTTCTACCCTGGTAAATATATATCTGGTGCTCCCTCTTCCTTCTCAGTCACATGTAAACACAGTTGACACGACTAAGGTGGAGTCATTCGCAGAACTGCTAATGCTAACAATGTAAGGCATAAATTTGCAAAAATGTGTAATAAAAAAAATCATAAATATGTTGAAAAGAGAGACGTGTATGAACAACATGTCCGATCTGATTCCGATAAGGCTACTTGGAGTATATGCCGATACCAATATCAATCTGATACTTTTTATATATATATATATATATATATAATATTATTTCACATAATCTGGTAACATTGAATCTGGTAGCATTATTTCTTTCATGATTTGTTTTCTGCAACACAGTTTAGTACAAAAAAGTGGAACTGATGATTTGAAATAGTCCATTCAGCCGTCTGTGTTTGCCATCGTCATGCCTGTTGCTGCAAAGCCTCGTTGTTCTAATGGAGCAGACATTTGGTCTCCGTGCTTTCTGCTCTACAGAGCATTTTCTGTTTCCTAACAGCAGCAGCTCGGGTCCAGCCCCATGTCAATGACCTTAGCATCCAATTACAATTTATCTGACAAACAAGGGCTCAAGTCATTCATATGAATCAATTTGACAAAATAGGCCACTGGAAATGTTGCACACACACAAAAAAGAGAGATGTGGCCTAATGGTAAATGTGTTTTCCTTATACTTTATAATGATAAACAGAAGATTTTTGGAAAATTCCAGATTTTTTTTTTATCTTAAAAGCCAAGCCAATCACTTTGTCTGGAGTGGTTGCAGTAGATTCCATATAAACAGTGATGCTGCAGATTAAATATATCACTGGTATCCAGCGTCATAAAGCTATAGTGTGTAGCAGTAAAGCCTAAATTACAGGGATAAACAGCAGCGAGTTATCGTGGAGTGGATCTGCTGTCTTTACTGTAGTCAGATAAGATAAGGGGCTTCTCCTAATTGGCTGCACCCTTCATGTAGCACAGCATTTGGTTATATGTTGAACGTGCACACGCACAGGCACATATTTCCTTTAGCGAGAGAGAGAGAGAGAGAGAGCGAGAGGGCCGTGTTTGTCTTAGATATCCTTGGAACGACTTGTTGTAGGTTATCCAAGTCTCCCAGCCCTTTACTGGAAATCAGCAAGTGAGCAGAACTCAGGGATAAACAAGAAAATGTGTTTAAAATTTGTTTATGAAAAAGAAGCCAAAAGCAAAGCCAAGGAAATGACTACAACAGATTACCAGTTACTTGTGATTTCGAAAGACAGGGTGCAAACATTAACGTTGTCCAACTTTGGTGTCAAGATTGAAGAGGAAGAGACAAATAAACCACTGTTACACAACCAGGAGATTGCAAGGTTGTTGGGTCTGAAGCATTTATGTCTTATTTGCAGTAATCCCCTGACACCACATTATGAAGATAATGCTTACTCATACAGTACATGACAGAGCATGCCCTTCACCGTGTGTATGCCCAGCGCATGAATTAGTGCCACCTTCGCGCCAGAGTCGTGATGCATCAACTGACCAACGGAAACTGCCAGCGACATGAAACCTCTCCAGGGGAGCAAATAGTCATCTGTTGATCTTTGAAGTGATATTTTAGCTATGCTACTGCTCCTTGAGTGACGAACAATAGACTAACATTTACTTAAGGCTCTCAAACAATTACATAGCTGTAGATACCTCACAAATAATCATGATTATTCAAAAGAATGAATGATACATATTCATGTA